TACTACTACTACTACTACTACTACTACTACTACTACTACTACTATTACTGCTGCTGCTGCTGCTGCTGCTGCTGCTGCTGCTACTACTACTACTATTACTACTACATTCGAAAAAGCTTGATAGGTGAAACTCAAAATTTTGACGTCAAATTTCTCAAAGCTAGGTACTGAGCATATGAAACTTTGTAATTCTAGTGCAGTGATATGTCTATAAATCAGGAGGCTTTGATTGTCCAAAAAGCATTAATCTAGAAATTCCTTACATAGATTCGAACCCGTAGCATCCGCGTTGTAAACTGGAGTCTCACCTCTTGAGTTAAGGGATAGCATTGTGTTCGAAAGATTACTTTTGAAACATAATTTTTTTGTTTGCTTTCATTAAAATTATAAGATGTGTTTATTACACATTACTTTCATTATTTATTCTTAATATATGAAAAACTATAATGACGTCGAATGTGATTACACTGACAGTATCTACCGAACGTTATTTTCAATACCGGCTTACCTAGACTCTTCACGTCCTAATTATATCCACAACGTCTTCTTCAAACACTGAAAAGGCTTTATCCCAAAGCTGTACAAATGACGCAGCAAAATCAGTTGACACGTTTTGTTATAGATATATATCCATCCGATCAAGACTGCAGCCATTCCGAACTAATTTGGCTTCCATTAGTTCTAATTCTTAAATAGAAAACTTCTACATCGGCTCATATGACTGTGCACGTCTGCAGCCAACGAGACAGGGCTGCCAATATTGACATTAACTTGGCGCAAGTGAATCACGAACTCGTCTCATTGTCAAGTGGCCAGTCTATTTGGCCACCTACATCAGCCCAGCCTCTGCCACCTTCTCTCACTCCTTCCACCTTGTGAGGGACGCTGTATAAAACAAACTTACATCTACCCTATCGCCATCGACAATTTGCCGTGACCAGTTTGAGCTGACGAAATAACTTGGGTGTGATGTCGGGGAGGACAGCTGTTATTAACGCGTCATATCCCCAGTGAAGCAATGCTTGCCCTTAATTGTCTGGCTCTGTTTGGGACGTGAGTTTGAGTGGAAGTCTGAGGTTTATTGGATTAGCATTGTTAATTGGTTAAAGACAGACACCTCATAATAGGGAGCTTCTGAGTTTGGATCACGATATTGAAATGTTTTTAAAATCAATATTTCCCCCTCATGGTTCTTTTATTCAGGTTCAGCCAAATTTCAGACAAATAGCATCAACGTAGACAAAATGAAAGCTGTTGGGGATGGTGAAGAAAAGGGAACTATAAAGTTCTTATGTTCTCTTCAGTGCAATGGACATTAGTATCCGTGTTTGATGTCTAAATTAGCTACTAATGCTAAGAGGGTATTATTATACTTTGTACAAACTCCCAAACACCCCCTCCCCCAACATCTCCCACATCAACCCAAACATATTCATAAATAGAACCGAACCAATGAGGCCTGTGTCTTAAGTCCAAAGAATGCACTTCTGGGTTTTTATTCTAAGCCTTTAGTTTGATTTTCAAAGCATTCAAACTCAGTCCTTTTTTATCTTTCATGTTGTCAAGTCCCTGCTTATTTTGCTATATAAATATGCTCATTCTAGCCACCGTCTCACTAACAAGAAGAACGTGAAAGTTTTGAAAGCTGAACGTACTACATCAACATCTTTTTTTCTTTCAGTTAGTCCACTCATGATTATTCTTTTTCCTTTCTTAAAAATGCGGAATCCTGCTTTGTGTCCTCAGTAATGAAAATAGATACAATGGTGTATATTTTTCTACCTTCTACAAGACACAAATAGGTCGTTTCGAAGGCGATATACAGTGAGTTTTTGGGGGGTGGAGGTGTGTGTGTGTGTGTGTGTGTGTGTGTGTGTGTGTGTGTGTGTGTGTGTGTGTGTGTGTGTGT